ATAATTTGTAATGGAATGATATCTGTTATGAGATTTCACGTGTTAGATCATTTATCTTCACAACTTTACTGTATCGTTGTACGCGGTGTAATATCTGATTTTAATCAATAACTGATATTAATTGGTATCAGTTATTAGTTGATTTTAGCTTCATTTAATGACATTTTAACAATGGCCATGTGATTAAGTTGAAGGGGTGTGTGATCAAGTGAAGTTCTGATCAAGAACCGTCGAAGAGGCCATTTACGAGAATGGCTACTAAAGAGATACCAGTTTACGGCGGTGGAGATGATCACACAATGAAACAAGATGAAGTATGGGTTAGTATTCCGTTTTTTGAAGTATTTCTGTGCTTCACTGAAATATTTCGGTGATATTCATAAATTTGAGAGGTGAAAAGTTATTCAGTACATCGATGTTGCAAAATTTATGCAAATTATTGAAAGGTTTTGTTTTGTTCGGACCTCACCGATAGATTTTCTTTTGCATTCTAACATTTTCCATCGAATAAATCAGAATAAAGCAGTTTTTCAAATTATTATTATTTACATACNTTGCATTCTAACATTTTCCATCGAATAAATCAGAATAAAGCAGTTTTTCAAATTATTATTATTTACATACCATTGTATTCTTTATATTTTTGTTATTTTACACTACTGGTAATGGGCATCAGAGTAATCATGTAACCTTTGATTTATCATCTGCTCAACTGCTTGGGTTTGTTGGAAAGAAGAACAAGTTATATATGAATTAACCATATAAGATTTTGGATTTTTCGGTAAGATATTCTAAAATTTCGGGTATTCAGTAAATACGTTAATGGTTTCAGGGTGAATCGACAACCGATATGTTTGCGGATTTATCATTGACCGAAAATGAGAAAGAATTAAGCGATAAATATTTGAAAGAGCGAACGATTGCAGTTGACGTACGTTTCATTGATTAACATAAACGTCCACTGAGTTCAGTGACCAAGATTTTATAAACTCGTCGTGCTGATTCGTTTTTATCAAGCAACATCATTCTCAGAAGAATGATGTTGCTTGATAATTCAGTCGTATTTGACTTTTATATTCAGTTTATATTTCGGTGAGCTTACAGTACTCAAAGTGGATAGATAAGAATTAATTGCCTTCATTATGATCGTCATAATATGAATTTTCAGTTTTGGTTTGTCTGTCCGAAAATTATAAAATCTTCTTGTTTTCAGTGGTTTACAACGTGGACTGAATCAGATCAAGTGGATTTTGTGAAAACATTAATCAATCGTATGTGTCATGATCAACACGGGCAGATCGATTCCTTTTTAAAGCCGATTCTACAGCGTGATTTTATTTCATTATTGCCAGGTGCTGTTTGTATGTCTTGTTTTTGATTTTCGACTCATTTCGAAAAAAATTAATTGCATTCTTAGTATTCGACGTTTTTTTGGTTCTGGTGTTTTGAAAGATCACTCACACCTCAATATGGT